AGCAAAGGGTCTGAATACTTATGACCATGTAATATTTCAGTTTTTTTTTTAAAATAAATCTGCAATAATGTCAAAAATTCTGTGTTTTTCTGTCAATATGGGGTGCTGTGTGTACATTAATGAGGAAAAAAATGATCTTAAATGATTTTAGCATATGGCTGCAATATAACAGAGTGAAAAATTTAAGGGGGTCTGAATACTTTCCGTACCCACTGTATATGTATATATATGTATTCCTGTTCCTTTCTTATGAGTTGTGCTGCACCTGTTAAGGTGGAGTGTTTGTTCAGTTTATTCAGTCATAAAATGAAAACATCTGTATTTTTACAGAGTCTTTAATTAGATATGATGTGGACATAGTCCTTTCCATATAAGTAATGACACTCTGTAAATACTGTATGGATGTATGCAAACAGGCACGTACGCCTCAAATGACCCTTGGCCATTTTTGATGTTATAATAGCATTTCAAGACCAACACTGCCCCCCCTCTGCTAGGCTTGAAAAATACATAGAAGGGAGCCCAAGAAGAGCCGCATGCCTACGCTACTTTCCCACAGCACTACAAACAGACTGAATATTGTTACATCTGCTGTAAATATGACCACAGAAAGCTTTAACGCTGCCTATAAGCTACCTGAGTCTTCTCATAAAATGTTGTCTAGAAGTACAGAGTTTGTGAAATAAAGTGCTGAGGTAATTACAGGTTGCCCTTCTTATTTGCATCAGTTTTTGCAGAGATAAATGTTGTTTTACTATTTAAGTATACTAATATAAAAGGAAACAGCCAATAGTAATCAAAAAGTCATAAAAAGGGAAAGAATAAACGTGTTGTCCTGTGGTGTCTCCTCTTTTCGCTGAGTAGTGAATCTCTTATTATAGACGATCTTTGCTCAAATCGGGTTTGCTGATTGGCTGAAGAGACAACAGACCAGCAGAGCCGTTTGTAGTCGAGAGCGGGGAATGCAGGGATTTTGGTGACGACAATCCGTCCGCCCTTTCCCCCGCCCGGATCCCTCCGCTCCTCCTTCACTCTACTCAGATACACTATCAGGCTAGAGTCCAACGCAACGCATTGACAGCTGCTACTGACTCACAATCGACGAGGGAAAGATGGAGCGCAGAGACGTCGAGTTCAGCATAATGCTAGGAACAGACTCATACAAGGTACCGTATACATGGTGGAAGGCTGGATGGAGGGGAGCGACTGATGGATGAAAACTGATAAAGTCAAAGTAGCTTCATCATCAGTCCCGAGGCCATCACACTGCTCTCTGGGGCCGGTCTCCGTCGGTTCACGGCAGGCCACATGAGCTAGGGGATGAGGAGGACAGGGGTTGTACGGCAGGGACGGATACCAAATTCAGAAAACAAGCATCCCTTTTTGAGTTGACTAACTTAGATCCAGGACCGCCGATTATCCGGTTTTGCTAGTCACAATGCAGCTAGCTGAACTGGCTAGCTCGGTGGCTCACAGGGAGCGCAGAAAGGAGAATGAGGGGATTGATATTAAAAGCTAAAATTAGCCACTAGCTAGCAAGTGATAAGTGAAGAGCCCAGTGAACTACACATCATTCAAGAGCCCAGCCAGACGTGGTGTTAGCCAGCATGTGGTGTTAGCAAGTAATGGTGTGACTATGCATGCGAGAAATCAAAACCGAAAGTTATAAGGACCCGGGGGGTTTTATCTTGTGAAACAGTAAGGTTATCAAAGTACAAAGTCATCCATTGAAATAACACCCGGGACCTTCAAACGCTATGTAACAATTGATTGTGAGCTTGATGTAATAGCAATTATAACAGCAAGTAACGTTTAATGTACACGAAGTCCGGCTTCTAACAGAGGACAAGTGCACTTGCAGTATTGTATATCTCACGTTGCCAGGCCGGTTGCCATATACAGCAGTCATGTGATGGTGATGCTGGGACAGAAAGGTACAAATTAAAAAGGAAAGGGGAGGGAGTTGGCGACACCAGCAGAGGTTTGAAGTCCAAAATGCAACCAGCAAAGCTTAAAACGGGCAGTTTCTCTCTGAGATCAGTGGACACTGAAGTTCTAAATTTAGTGTGAAGCAACAAAATAACAATAAATAAGTAAATAATAGGTGTATGGTGTTTAAAGAAAATATTTGTGACAAATAAGTGTGCACTAACAGTGAACATATAACTATTAAGCTCTGGGTCCAGAAGGTGTAGTGTAATTCTTTAGGTGAACATATAACTATTCAGCTCTAGCTCTAGGTCCAGAAGGTGTAGTGTAATTCTTTATTTCTGGAACGTATTTGCCTTGCCTACTAATGTACACTTTTTGATTTCCAGACACACACTGAGAGTGTGTGAGCTTTTTTTGGTCTGACGTCTTTTTTCGCTTGGTATATCTACATATAAAACTGTGTAATAGAAAATGTTCTAGCCTTCCCTAAAATTGCCTTACAGGGTTAACATGTTTTTTGGGGGGAGGGGTGCATAACAGTGTTCAAATTAGTATGGTTATTACAGTTTTGAAATTCAGTTTCATTACCAAGATTTCAGTTCCAGAGTATATTTTATTTAGTTATATTTACAGTTGCAATCAGAAATATTTAACCCCCTCACCTCAAAAGACATTATAGCGATGTTGATGAAAGATAATGAAATTAAATGCAAAAAAACCCTTTGAAATAACAAAAAATATTTATTGATACATATTTGAGTTATTTTGACTACAGAAGTTGACTTAACTTTGAAGTTCAAATGGAAATTGTAACCCTTGTAACACATGAGCATGTGCAGTATTATTCAACCCCCAGCTTCAGTACCTTGTGGCGCGTCCTTTAGTTTTTATAACTTCTAACAAACGTTTTCGATAAGTGCCGACAAGCTTCTTACACCTCTCGATTGGAATCTTTACCCATTCACGTGCAAAAGCCTCTAGCTCAGTGATGTTTGACGGCTTCCGTGCCACAACTGCCTTCTTCAAATCCCACCAAAGATTTTCAATTGGATTTAAATCTGGTGACTGAGAAGGCCACTCCAGGGCGCTCCAGCATCTTTTCTCCAACCAAGCTTTGGTTGACTTGGAGGTGTGCTTGGGATCATTGTCATGCTGGAAGATCCGATGATCACCGAGGTATAATTTGTCAACAGAAGGCATCATGTTCTTCTTTAAAATGACCTGGTATTTCTGGGAATCCATGGTGCCAGGTACATGATCAAGATTGCCAGTTCCTGCCGCAGAACAGGTCATAAGCCTGGCCTTTTGCACGCCAGACATACCGCTGGTCCATATGTCCAAAAAGTTCCAGTTTGGTTTCATCAGTCCATAGAACTGTCTCCCAGAACTCGGTAGTCTTATCCAAATTCCTCCTGGCATATTCTAGTCGACTGTTGATGTTCCTTGTGGTCAATAGTGTAGTGCGTCTTGGGGTCCGGCCATGAAGTCCTTGTTTATTCAGTGCACATCTTATAGTTGCCACTGAAGCACTTGTACCAGCTGCCTTCATGTCATCCTGTAGCTGTCTTGCAGTCACACGACGGTTTTTCTTAGCTGTCCTGACTAAGTTGCTAAGGGCCCTTGATGAAATTATGGGCTTTCTTCCACGGCCAGGCAGGTTTGCAGCTGTTCCATAAGTTTTAAACTTCCTTATAATGCTCCCAGTGGTGTCTCTTGGAATGTTAAATCTCTTGGAAATCTTCTTATACCCAAGTTCCTTCAGATGTGATGAAATAATCTCCTCTCTCAGCTTTTGTGGAAGCTCCTTTGTCTTTCCCATGATTGCAGCTCACCTTGAAAACCTTCATGGTCGGGGTTTATATATGCATCACAGCTGAAGCAAATAAAGGATTGTTATAGAGTTCCCACAGGCTTAATGATGTTTCAGCTCCACTTTAGGCCATACAAACTGTCAGAAAGCTTTAAAAACAACAGTATTATATAGGGGTTGAATAATTGTGACATGGCTATCTTAACAACATATACTGTTACACACAAATACTACATCATACATTTTCTATGTTGATTTTATGTATCACTCAACTCATAAAGACGTCATCCAAAGCAGAATCCTGCACTTTGAAAAGATTTGTATTCATAAATCCTTAAAAGTCTTTGGGGGTTGGATATTTTTGATTGCAACTGTATTTAGTTTTGGTTTTCATTTCTGCAAAAACACTTGTTTGGGTTTTTATTTTAATTTTTTTGGACCAGAGTCAAATTCCTTGTGTGTCCGACACACCTGGCCAATAAAGCAGATTCTGATTCTGATTCTAATTTATGTTGTTTCAATTACAGTTTCATTTCCACAGTTGAAGGAATTTTAAGGTTAAAGACTGGTGAAGATGCTATGTGTCTTACTTTGATCACACCTTTGCTGTAATGGTCCCAAAGCTGTGGAACAAGTTTATATGTTAATTTTAGTTCTGCCATGGATCTGCCAGTGTTTAAGTAACTGATCAAGACTTATTTCCTTTCCATAGCCTTTGGATAATAGTGGAGTTGGGATGTATCCTCTTCAAGTGTTTTTATTGCCTGTATTTCTTTCTCTTTATTTTATTTCAGTGTAGATTATGTGAAGTACTTTGCACAGCAAGGTTTTGGTTTTAAAGTGCTTTATAAATAATTTAGATTTGATTTGCCAAAGTAGACACAAGTTGTGATGTGGGTTAATACATCCATGACTGTAGTTGTCATATTGAACAGTGGACTGTGAAGCTGTGTAAATTCCACCAAGTTGTCATCTAGTGGTTGTCCACTTTAGCTAGCTATCTGAGGCTCTGGCTCATCTTCATCAGAAGCAACAAGCAGCTCCTTGGTTAACACAGATCGGGGCTGAGCGGCAGGCAGTGGAGAGTGTCAATGTAGCTGCCTTGTTCCAAGCAGTACCCTAAATAAATGTGCTTCTAATATAACACAAAAGTCATTAACTCTATATGCAACAATCCACTGCTTAGATAAATTTTACTGGTTATCAGTCAGATACATCATTTCCTACATATTTAGTCTTTTTCCGAAGTTTGTGGTGTGCCCTGTAAGTGGTGCACCAATGTTTTCATGTTTAATACTTGGGTTTTCTTGGGCTATAGTGTTCCCACACTAGGCTAAATTTGCGTTTATTGTCTCTTTAAAAAGCCAGTTGAGTTATACAAAAGAAACGAAACTAACCAGTCATTTACAGTAGTTAGTATACAACATTTACAAATGTCACCATTCCTGTTTGCAGTTGTTTCACTGTTTGCTGCTTGAATGTTTATCTTGTCTATTCATGTGTAATAATCTTTGTAAAGAGAAACGGGGTAATGCAAGCAAAGCATTTTACTGACTCGCATACAATATGTTCACAGGGCATAGAGACAAGCTGCGTCTGAAAGCCTTTGTGTTGTGCCTGTTTGGACTGGAAGGCTTGGCTTCAAAGCTAAGCTTGCCTGTTGTCTGGAAAAGGGTGTTGTTGGTGTGAAAGGTTTATCAGATCTGAATGCTCTACAGGGTGGAGGTGTAAAGTGTGTTGTTATATATGACCATATTGACTTAACATCATGTTTTTATGACCTTTAAATCCAGAGAGAATTACAGTACACATAGATAGGGGTCCAGGATTTTGTGGGGAAAAACATTCTTACAGAGCAGAACCAGCTACAGTGAAGGTTAAACCTGTAATGTTTAGGTAATGGGATTGTCCCATAAAGCATTATAACATTTTATATTATAAC